TTTAAAGATTGCATGTAAAAAGGAATGTATGTAAAAATTTTACATTTTTAAATTTTTTAACTTATAACAATCGATTATGCAATATTTGTTGTAATTGTATAAATATCTTTATATTTTCTAAATCAAATAAATATGTTCGCAGATTAGATGCATCATAAATTTTATAATCATGTATGCTCAAAGATTTCCTTTCACTTCGTGCTTGATTTGATTCTGTTAGTCTTGATCTTCACAGCTGTGCTCTACAGGCTCTACTGCTCTCACTTTCACGTGAGCAAAACAGTATACACACACATTCAAACATTTCACCTGTCTCACTTTTCTTTCCTCTCATTTTGCTTTTAATTAGAATAGGAAAAAAAAACATTCTTTCTCAAGCACATAAAATATTCCGGTTTAAATTTCCGAACGTTCCTTTGACGAAATACGAGATGAGCTGTGATACACGAGAAATTTTATACACATAACCTATACAAGATTTCTTTATCGACTCGCGTTCCTAGAAGACACAAAATTAAAAACAAATTTCTTTAAACATCATCATGCCAAATGTTATGTGATACTTGTGCCGGCACTTGAGATTTAGAAACAGATCAGTAGCATCAGGTAACGTAAAGTGATGATCGATCCCTTCTCGCGGTCGAATCAGGCGCATTGAGAGCAGACTAGCACCTCTGCACCTCGCATGCTCTTCCCCTCGAAGGTTTGATAGATGAGAACCCCACATTTATTCCGTAATATCTTAATCGGCATCCCGATCGGGTTTGTTCTTTGCGACACAGTCGCGAAGACGGTCGGATATGTCGCGAGGGTGGACGGAATCTCCATGCAGCCTGCGCTGAATCCGGATCTACGGTATCCCGATTGGGTGTTTCTGAATCGCTGGGCCATCCGGAACCGCAAGATAGAGCGCGGCGACATAGTGTGCGTTGTATCTCCCAAGGTGCCAGATCAGACCCTCATCAAGAGAGTTGTGGGACTCGCCGGGGATATTATAGGCACGCATGGATACAAAATCAGTGCCCTCCAAGTATGGATATCATATGTAGAAGTAATTTGGTATTGAGTATAGAACGGTGAATAACGACGGCTTAGGCTGCAACAAACTGTTGTCGCCTCGATGTTGTTACTCTTTATCTGCGGATATTAATTTTGATCTTATGAATGCAGGTGCCAGAGGGACACTGCTGGTTGGAAGGAGACCACACTGGACATTCTATGGACTCTAATACCTTCGGGCCGATATCTCTGGGTCTGGTAAAGGCGAAAGCCACTCATATAGTTTGGCCGCCAAGTCGATGGCAACAGTTACATCCTACAAAGCCCAATCATGAGAGCTGTTAGCTTTGTAAAGAGATTGCAATGGGAATTACCTGGTACTGTATGCAGGTAAGTTTAATCATTGCAAGTTTAATCTATTTTAGCCTGGTAAGTGGTTTACAATAGAAATTATTATGTGCAGGCATGGCTTAACTATAGGAGATGTCGATAACGATGGTGATAATGAATTGGTTGTCGGCACTGCTGAAGGAGAGCTTTATATCTTCAAGGTAAATACGTTAATAACTACTTCAAAAATTATGACTGCGTTGACTCTCATTATCCCCCTTTTTTCCTTACTTGTTTTTTAAAATTTAAGAGTCTGTTAGATTTAATGTTTAAAAATTATGACTTTTTAATAAGGAATAAAAAAAACTATAGGTAATATTTGTGCTCTTTATGTAACAGGGATCAGAATTATGGCAGAAAATCATTGGCCTCGGTCTTATAACTAGCGTGGCAATTGGAGATATTTTTAATTATGGACGCAATGCGCTTGTTGTCATCTGCGGCGATGGATGGACGCATATATTTTACAGTCCCAGATCTGTCAATCCTAACAACTCTAACGTGTTTGCAGGCCAACATAATAGTAAAGATACAAGCGAGCAAGACAATTTCAAAACGACTACTGGTAAGTCGGAGTTTCAGAAAGACATATGCTTTATGAAATAGCAAAACATTTAGATAACTTTCGGATACGTGTGCAGACATAGGAAATTCCCAAAACACGGAACATATTGACAATACTAATGAAATTAATGAACTCTCTGGAAAAATGGAGTGTGTACATGTACAAAGAATTCCAACTAATACGAAGACCGTGCTGATAGCTGATGTCGATAAAGATGGTGCTAACGAGATGATTCTCGGTCTGACGGATCGTGTTGTGAGATCCTACAGATGGTCAAGTAATGCTGACTTGGAAACAGGAAAATTAGTTGGCCTAAATAAGTGGGAATGCACTAATCAAATAGGAACGGTTACGTTGCAAGTACGTCAAATTGAAACATAAATTCTATTATATATTATACACATATCAATAATTATTATACTAATGAGCATAAAATAATGTTGATACAACAATTTTTGTTTAGCATACTGGTGATGGTACGCCGACTCTACTGGTTGCACAACCTGGTGGAACGTTCATGCGGATTAAATGCAACGCTGAAGATTGTCAATCAAAGAATAGTTCCTGCGAAGCTGTAGATTATCAGACATTAGGGATATCTAGGATGCGCAATCAAAATATTTCAACGGAGATTATTGGAGATTTGGAGCCGGGAGTAACGCCGTTTATTTCGACGATTGAACCTAAAATGTCTAGTTATATGCCTACAAATAAGTTGCCGAAACAAAGTTTCGCAGACGACAGCCAGCTAAACATGAAAACCTTCAAACCTGCGTCGCTCGAGTTCAAGAGGAATTACTCGCAACCGGCGTTTCGGAAAAATAGTCTGGATATGGCTGGCGAGTATAGTAGAAAAGATTTCACATCAGAAAGTCAAGGCCCAGTTAGATTTTATAGTCCCGTCGAGTCTTCAGGCGCGGATGAAATGGATGGCAACTTTATCGGTGGCAATGTTATTCTCGGAGAATACGACGACAACAAAACTACGAAAGATACATTATTGCCATCTTTTACACATTTTTCCCAGAATAATAATAATAGTAAAAATATCAGTAATAGCAATGATAACAGCAACAATATCAGTAAATCGAATCAACATGAAGAAATCATAAGAGAAGATAAGACGGAATCAAGCAATGAAGTCATCAGTGAAAATGCTCCAAAGGGAAAACCTTATGCCTTGGCAACGCTTGACGGAACTATTATGTTAGTACAGGATGAGATCATTTTGTGGTAAGCAATCACGCGTAGAGATATTTAGATATTAACACATCTGAATAATTACGAATATATTGCATTGTTTCTTTTCTTACAGGGCTATGCAGGTAGATCATCAGATATTCGCGCTGTGTCGACTGGACGTCACAGGCGATAATTCCGACGAGATAATCGCTTGCGCCTGGGACGGCCAAACGTACATCTTAGATCAACAACGGCATAGCGTACGCTTTCAATTTGAGGAACCGGTCAGAGCTTTTTGCACAGGAAATTATAACGTGATCCCGGGAACGTCTAGTCCCAGCCTGGTGTACAATACCTTCAACAACAAGGTTTCCATTTGTATACAAGTCTATACATGTGAATAAATTAAATGTCATTTACTTGTAATAATGGTAATTAATTTTCTATCTTCTAGATTGTTCTTTATTACGACGTTACTCTGCCGAGCATGACGATTACTCCTCTGAATCCCATGAAGGACTTTGAGCCTGATGAAACGCAAGTCTTAGAGAAATTATTAGGCGAGTGCAACGTAAATGAAAAACAGCAAAAGATGCAGCAGTTAACTGAATGGTTGCTGTATGGTGTACATTAGCACACATGGCAAATGGTCATAATTATACAGCGTGATTCTTATGTTGCAATATATTTTAAGAATCGCCCTGTACAGACAAAATGTATAATAAAACATGCATATTCTGGTACATGTGTTAAATCATTATTTTTGTTTTTCTTAAATCTTTACACTTCTAAAAATTGATCGATAAAAAATACTTGTATGTAAAATATCTTGTATCTAGTTGTAACACAAACTGATATTATTTCCAATTAGAAAATGTCCGATTCTGATCGTGATGCGATAAAAAATTGTAAGCCTCTTTTTCGTATCTTATATTCGATAGGAATCGCGATCGTTCTATGGGATACGTCACTGTGTTATCGCGAAGGATATACGACCAAAAGTCCGTGCAAAATTTTTGGCAAACAAGCAACCGGCGATATCGGCGATGAAATTAATTTTGGCGTAGAGTGCAGCATAAAGACGCCTATTTAAGGATTCTCGTCTATTTGCGAGTCGTAGCGTTTTATCTACAGTGCCGTAAATCAGGCTGACACCGCGCTGAATGTCGGCCTAACATATAGCATCGCACGTCATCATTGTCAGTGGGTACGCAAATTTCGTTCGGTACTTTTCCAAATTCCGGCGAGGTTGCTTTATTATTAGACACATACATGATTAGATCGTGGACGCGTGAACGAAAATTTTTCGAAATTCAGTCGCCTTATTGCCGGCGTAGTGTGTTACTCCAGATATTAATGCGGAACTCAACAATCGCTGTACAGTGAGAAGAAAGTAATCGAAGTATGTACGTATGATTGATAATAGCATCCGCGAGAAATTTGGACAGAATTTGGGGTAGGACTATCTAAATTCGTACTTCCATTTGAATATAAAATAATGAGATAATTTATTTTTAATCAAAGAGTAAATTAAGAAATTTTTATGAACTAAACAATGAAAAGTAGTATTATTTAAACTAGGTACTAAATGTAATATTAAATTAAATGTAATTATTAAGTATTAAAATAAAGTAATTATTAAGTATTAAAATTGGAAATATTTCCAATATCTTCTTCATGTTTAACAACTCAGTTTAATCAACATTCAAGTACAAAATAAGAGACATACATATAAAACATAACTTCACCCTCAACTTTGTAACGAGTTTTCTACATAAAATTTTAAATGCGAGATAATCTAACGGCTATCCCTTCGGCGCGTGTAACTGAACGTAACGTAGATATTCTCTGAAATAGTCCATTAACGTGGATCTTTTGAACTAGTGAATCCAGGATGACCATCAATGGCACGGAGCCGTTTTTCGCGGGCCACGAGCTGAAGGAACTCACTTTCGGATGGACCGATTATACCCTATTCGGCGGTCTGCTGGGCGTTAGCGTTCTCATCGGCATCTACTTCGGTTTCTTCAGCACGAAGCAGGATAACACCACCGAGTATTTACTCGGCGGCAAAACCATGTCTTTTCTTCCGATTAGCATGAGCCTGATAGCGAGGTGACTTAACTTGAATTTCATCGTTCTCGATTTAAAAAAAAAGTGCAATTTTTATTGCTTCTTCATTTATTTGAGCAAATAATCTCTGATCAGTTTAATTTTTTATATAAAATCTGTGCCGTGTTATAAGAAAAGTATATTTCGTTTAAAATTTGTTAAAATTGAATGTAATTCAATCCAATCAAGCTAATTAGAGATGGTGAAACTGGTTTCTATATTAACACTAGAACCGCGGCTATGCCATTTTTTGACCCATCTGAATTTTTCTTTTCCACTATCGTTGATTACAGCCATACGCGGATTGAATTAGTATTAATTAATAGAAGTGTAATATTTATTACCATTTTATCCATCTATTAAAAAATCATAAAAGAATTTAGAATAATATGGATCATAAATAAATAATTCACCATTCTAGGAAAGGCCTAAATCGCTGCGGCTCTAGTGTTAAAGCAATCCCTATAATATTCAATCGTTAGTAATACCAAGAGAAAACTTTTCTAACAGAGACAAAATTCATTTCAGTCACATATCAGGGGTGTCTTTACTCGGCGTACCCTCTGAGGTGTACCAGTACGGAACTCAATACGCGGCATGCATTTTTACATCCTTCATAAGCTGTTTCATAATCATAAACGTATACCTGCCGGTATTTTATAAACTGCAGCTGACGAGCACTTTTGAGTATCTGGAAATTAGATTTGCTAGACCGGTCCGGCAATTAGCATCCTTTCTTTATACCCTTGCGCTGGTAATCTACGTGCCGTTGATAATCTACGTGCCGGCGCTAGCCTTTTCGCAAGCGACCGGGATGAATCTGCATTACGTCGCGCCGGTGATATGCATGGTGTGCATCTTCTACACGACCATCGTAAGTAATATAGACATTTTCATTTGGATTGTAATTATCATCGTAAATTTCGAAAGAGTGACCTTAAAAATTGCTCGTTTTTTGAGCTCTCGATTTTGAGACTGAACTGTGTGCCAATTAAATGGTATCCTATAATGAGACACAATCACAGAGAAGTTTCAAGTTAAGGTGACAATTGTTATTAGAATTGAAGGAGGGAGGAAGTGAAATCAAAGTTCATTACACTGATTCGACATTCTAAAAGTTTCCTGCAAAAAGTGAGTAGTTTCCTGTAGATTTTGGGATGCTGAAAACGATGCTGCTCTCAAAATTTGTCTATTATGTTACATTTTTGAGAAAAATGGGATCGAATCCCTTAAAATGCGTTTTTCGCAATTTTTGAAAAATCGCAGCGAACGAATCTGATTCAGATAAATAGTTTCGTAATAATGGAGATATTTAGGCTCGAGTACAATGTTTAAGCTTTCATTTTAGAAAAGATTTTTTAGAAGTTTCTAGCACATCAGGTTCATCTACTGCGATTTTTCAAAAATTGCGGAAAAAACATTCTTTAAGGGATTTAATCCCATTTTTCTCAAAGATATGGCGTAATAGACAAATTCTGAGGGCAGCGCCCCAAAATCTACGGGAAACCATCTCCTTTTGTAGGAAACTTTTAGCACTTCGATCAGTGTAATGAACTTTGATTCCACCTCCCTCTCCCTCCAACTCTGATAACAATTGTCATCTCAACTTGAAACTTCTCTGTGATTAATGTCTTATTATAGAGTACCATTTGGCATACAGTTCAGTCTCAAAATCGAAGGCCCAAAAAAAAAACAGGCGAAAAAACCATCTTTTTTAGGGTCACTCTTTCATGACGGATGTCTATCGGTTTATTGAAAGTCATAAAATGTGCATTGCTGATTTTTGAGTTCTTTGAGAATAAGAGCGTTTAGTATTTTTACAAATTTACGTATTTCTTGAAACATTCGTAATGTCCAATGCGTGCGTTCCATTCGAACGGAGAATACTAGACGTCGTTATCGTCTATTAACATTCGCACGTGCCGTATATTAAAACAGAGGATTTTTCGAGGTCGTAAAAATCGTAGACTCACGTCTAGATAGTTAGAAGGCCATGAAACCACCGGGGTGGAACGACATGTGTGTTTCACACGCGTCATCTTGACGCAGCCGTGACGTTATCGGAGAATATCACAGTCTAGTTAGGTGAAACGTACGACGGCTACCGAGTAAATGGTTATTTAGAGAGGAATTATCTAGATTTGCTGAACACGGGTCTTATCAGTTTCACAGCTTGCTAGATTATTTACGATGCGGTATCGCACCAACAAGGTGTAGCGACTACATTGCCACGCCGCTCTAATAAAATACACAAAAACGATGACGAAATTGATCGTCTTATTTGCCTTCGTCTTGAGATTGTTTGGACAATAGTACGGTGGACGGTAATGTGTGTGCGAAATGTGCATAGGTCGTGCATCGCTCTGTTGCGCGCAGATAACTCCGATGTCTTTAAAGATTGGCGATAAAGAAGAGCAAACAAATCTTGAAAGCCTATTATACGCGATAACATTAACATTTGCAAATGATTTCTTTTTTATAGAATACACAAGCTTAGATAGCTCGAATAATTACACAGTAGAAAACATGGCATTTTGTACTTATGTTAGAAACGGTCTTTGTTAAAATTTTTGTGTTTTGAATTTTTTTTTAACATACCTGCCGAGTATTAATTTCACACAATGTGATTATGTTACTTGAATATTTTGTGTTCGATTGACATTTAATATTTCTTATAAAAATAACTCAATAAAAATTAACACGATTAAACACATAAATTGTATTCTGTAGTAATTGTAATTTAAAGTGAAGCAATTTATGAGTAAGTGACTAAATAACAAAAACAATGTACTTTTAAAACATAAATTCCATGCCAAAAAAACTAAAAAATGAATATAAGTGTAATTAATTTAACATATAAATGTGAATTTTGCTAAAGAGATATTTTCATAATTTCTTTTCAAATTGTGTCACAGTATTATATTTTTTTGTGTTAATTTTAAATGATGATTATGTTACGTTCTAACATATGTATTCATCTTATTAAATTAACACAAAAATTTGGGTGATCCGTTTGAGACATGTAAAAAGTGTTTAATGCAATTGTATATGCGCTATCGTTTATAATTTATCAACTACTGTAAAATTAAATATTATTATTAATCAATTATTAAAATTAAATGTAGATTGTGTAGGTCTTTTGATATACGATAAAATTTGTGCCGATAACGATTTATAAAATATACACATATCGTAGCGTTGCATTGTAACATCATTATGCAATTGTATTATGATCTCTCCCCCGGGTTTACGTTTCACCGACTCCCCGACCCGACCGTTTGATTCTGTGCACGTCGCGCCGTGACTGACACTGATACCTTTATTGTGCGAGAATAATCTCTCTTTGAAAAAAATATATATCTTATACAGGGAGGTCTGAAGGCTGTCGTATGGGCGGATACGGTTCAGATGACGGTGACTGTCGGAAGTCTCATTGCCGTTTTGATATTGGGAACGATTGCTGTGGGCGGCGTCGGTGAGACCTGGAGGATAGCCGAGAAGGGTGGTAGAATTGTATTTTGGAAGTAAGAACAGGTGTATTTTTATGTTACAATTTAATAAAAAAAAAAGAAATATATATAAAATTCATTAATTAAACTTATCGTTAATTAAAATTAAGTCAGTCAAGAAATATTGCACGAACTCTCGTAAATATCTTTGCGTATTACATCGCTTTATCAAGAATCTATGTTTAATCGTGATCCATCAATTGTAAATTGATCTCGAGAAATGTAACAGCGCATCTGACACGCTGCTTGCGTGCGTTTCTGTTTCTGTAGAGATTAAATTGCATTTTTGTATTATATAATATTATATTTTTTAACCTCTTAGAGATTAAACGTTGCCACAAGTGTCGGATTTAACGCATGTTAGTTGCCATCGTGTCCTCCTACATCATTTTTACAGTAGTGCATTGACAGTAATACATAGCATGTCTATTCAATGTCCGGTGTAGTTAAAGTTTATAAAATACTAATCATCATTGTAGTGCTCAGAATGCAAATATGACTATATATTTTTTATTGTAGTTATACAATTAATTTTTGATATTATTTTCCAATATTTATAAGTTTAATAATTATTGATATTTTAAGTATCAATAAACTGACTAATATTTTCAATTCTCTTTTACACAGTATGGATCCCAGTCCTTTCACCAGAAATTCGTTTTGGGGCATGTCAGTGGGAATGGTAATGACATGGCTGGCTGGGTTGGGCATCAGCCAGGTTTCTATGCAAAGATTTCTGGCAGTACCTACTATTAAGGAAGCGCAGAAGTAAGTGCGAAATATTTGCTTTCCGGAATCACTTGATGTAAGTGGCATCGCTGTAATGCTGGATAGCTTAATGGTCTCTCAAACGAAAAACTCAAAAAGAGAATTTCGCTATTCCGCGAATAATATAAAATATTTTAAGTAACAAAAAAATAAAATAAAATTTCGTGATAAAATATTCTTGTAACAAAAGTAAGATAACTGAGTAATCAAGGATAAATTAAATAAAAGATAAACTAATGTAAATGAGTAAATTAATGAGTAAATCGCGATATATTATGTCCAAGAGTGGAAATCCGAATGAGATAAATAAGAATGGCATTGTTTCATGCACGCATCGCATGTTTCGCAGGTCGATATGGTTCCTGGCTGTAGGCCTAGTGTTCGTAAAATTTATTTCCGTTTTCACCGCCCTCACGATGTATGCCAGATATCACAAATGCGATCCTATAACTGCACACGTAAGTTTTGACTCCGTCGTTTATTAGCGTCCTTTACCTTTATCGCCGCACATTAAATTCGTAAAGACTTACGAGACATTAAACGAAGTTTTGAAAGGTTGGCAAAGGTATTATATATATATAGCGTTTGTTCTTTCAGAAAAAGAAATAAACAATTTTCTTACTTATTAAAAAGGTATTCGCGATACTCGAATTAAGTAGGCTACGTAGGCTACTATATCTATCTAATTAAATATAATATTATAATATTATATTAATAAGTAAAAAATTATAATATAAAAATGTGTCTATATATATATATATGTATATATATATATATATATATATGTATAATAGTATCCTACTTAATTCGAGTATCGCAAATACCTTTTTAATAAGTAAGAAAATTGTTTATTTCCTTTTCTGAAAGAATAAACGCTATATAGTTGGCAATACATCTTTTCAAAATTATTCGTTTCTGAAATGTAAATAATGTCTATGTCAACTCTTAAATAAGTACGGACGTAAGAGATTAAAGTCATGGTAAAATTTTTTCCAAATTTAGTTAAAATTAAACTTTCTTAATTAGATTTACTATATCATTAAACTCGTCCCAGAGGTTTCTTTCACTTTATCCTCAGCGATACTCACATTATAAAAATGCAGTAAAATGATGTAATTAAAATAAGATTAAAAAGTTGAGCAATCAAGGATTAAGGCGAACCGCCTCTCGTGATTCCAGTAAAGAGAATTAGCTTGTTTTTAGGTGGTGGCAAGGAGCGACAAGATATTGCCATATTACGTGCTGGACGTAGCCGCGAATGTTCCGGGACTTCCTGGCCTCTTTCTCGCCGGTCTGGTGAGCGCCGGTCTCTCGACGATGAGCGCCGGACTGAACACAGTCACCGGTACGATTTACGAGGATTTCATCGATCGCTGGATGCCGGAAAGCGACGACAAAGAGACTAAAGCCGCCAACATTATGAAGGTACAAAGGCGGAATATATTGCGGTTTCGTAACCGCAAGGAAAATAAGAGACTCGATCTTTTCCCTTTCTCCTCCGTTCTTCGGAAATATCATCAAGCGAGAGAATTCGCATAAACAAATAAGAATATTTAGAAACAATTCGGGGATGTATGATCTCTTCGTTTCCGAAATTACGAACGCGTCCGCGACGATCGGCGATTCCAGAAACGGTTTATGTCATCCTCAGGTCACGGTGGTGCTCATAGGCATCTTATGCGTGGGCATGGTATTCCTGGTCGACCGTCTCGGCGACATCTTCCAGCTGTCCCTGACCGTGACCGGCATCACCGCCGGTGCCATGCTGGGTCTGTTCTCGCTGGGGATGCTAGTGCCCTGGGCGACGACCAAGGGGGCGGTGGCCGGCGGACTGGTCTCGATGGTGACGATGATCTGGATCATCGTCGGCGCGCAATGGCACATGGCCAATCGACGTCTCTACTACGAGCCGCTTCCCTCTACGACGGAGGGTTGCCTGAACGTACCCGGTCTGTTTAATCGCACGACCGTGACGACCACGCAGAATCCGATGCAAGTCGAATCTGTAGACGAGCCTTTCTTCATATATAGGATATCCTTCATGTATTACACGCTATTTGGGGCGCTAATCGTGATGGTGATCGGCACGATAGTCAGCTTCATCTGCGGCGCTCCTGATTTAAGGGACATTGACCGAGATCACTTCCCACCGTTCATAACCAAGTATGTATTCGAGCACTTTGTTACAAAGTATACACTTTCATTTAATACGTTTCGAAATGTTAAAAAAAACAAAGATATTTCTTTCTAATTTTTGTTCAAAATACAAGCAAACAGTTTTATTTATTCATATATTATATCCTAAAATTGGCGGAAAGAAGATATATGCACACATATTTGAATTCCAATTCTGATTAATTTTAGTATATCCTGATCAGACTATTACATCGTTACATCAAATATTTAAGTTTTACTGTTGAAATCAATTTATTTTGAATACTTTTATCGTGTTTTAATTTATGCATTTGTATAAATTATGTATATACATGATTTGTTCCGAAAGTAATAATACTAATTCTAGGAAAACCGTTTTATTGAAAATACATTAATATTTTTCAAAGTAGGATCCTTGAGCGTCAATACAGCGGTTCTTGCGCTGCTACGAAGAGTGGCAGCAACGCTGGAACCGCTGTATTGACGCTCAAGGATCTTACTTTGAAAAATATTAAGTGTATTTTCAATAAAACGGTTTTTCCAGAATTAGTGTCATTACTTTTGAGACAAACCTAACCATGTATATAATTATTATCAAAATCCATAATCCGTTAAAACGAATTCACTAGTTAAAACTAGAATGGTTGATTATAGCCGTAAAATCGAAAACCTAGATATGTGAACAATACAATTACAAACTTGTTTCGCCTCGCAAAACAGGGGAGGGGGGAGGAATGAGTGTTGGACCTCACGTGGAAAGTCGAAAACCCAGTAAAATAATACAATTATAAACCTTGTTTCAACTAAATTTGAAACTAATTTTAACTGAAATCGGGTTTTAACAATTATGGATTTTGACGGTAACATATATATTAATATATACAATATATTAATTTTCTTTGCTCTCTAACTGTTCTTATCTATCATTTTCAGATTTATGCCACCAAAAAAATACATGGAAGTGTCGTTGCATACGGTGCCGACTGCATTGGTAACGAATCCAGAGAAAGAAGAACTGAAATCTTGAAACATGCGTATCTTATTCCACCTTATCTCCTCCTCCGTGACTTTACAAGACTTTATTACAGTAAAACACATACACGCACACATAATACAAAGGCGCTTAAACATTTGGAAAATCGTTCGATTACAAGTTCTGTGATCTCTGTATAATATTACATACTCTTCATATCGAACATATTAAGTACGAATATATCAAAAAAAGATATTTTATCGAAGTATATTCCCATCAAATTCTTAAGCCAGTTCAAACTTTCAATACATCAACATTGATGTAGAAATATTTATAGAGAGAGATTTCCGTAAACCGCGTTCAAGGAAGAAAGCTTCAATCAATAAATCCTTAACGACATAAATTGTTGAGGGACAGCGGTCGACAGACAAGCGAACGCATTTGCCGGGAGATAACTGCATCTATAACTGGCTCGTCCGGAGTTGAAAGCACCCATTAGAACGTCGATGAGGGTGTCAAATTGACTAGATTATATATCTGCCCCACGCATCTCAATACAAACAAGTCCCTGCCATCTGAAACATCTGGAGGAACGATGGCTATCGGATTAAAGCCGAATGTAAATGCCGCGGGAGTTTTTTGTCGAGTCATTCGTCGAGTCTCTCTTTAAAATCCGCGATGGATCGATCGTTGCCAGAGAGAGCTAGCGTGTGCCGTGCCGTCGCGCAGTGGACTCGTGACAAATTTCAAAGACTTTTCTCGCCTCCCTCGGGAGACGCGCGAGGCCACCGACTTGACTCACGGGGCCGGAGCTTATCGTTTCGAATCCGGGACGACGAAAGGGAGGACCCTTATCACGGCGATCGCCTACTCCGCAGACGAAGGAAACCCCGATCGACTGTTCCGCGGGTTATACATTCCACGTCTCCAGCGGAGAAACGACGCTTCTGTCTCGAAGCGGCCGGCACGGCGGCGACCACATTCCACCGCGGAGCGGTTTTATTTTATTGGACTGAAAGGTGTCAAATATAGGCGGCATGGGGACCCATCTACTTACATACCGATGCGCGAGTTTCGGGGAACCCTCCGCCTGCCCCCTCCGCCGTTCCCCTTTCTGTCCGGTCTGATTTCAACGTGTTAGTAAAATCCCGAACTGAGGACCCGGCTCGCATTGTGGGCCAGGTGACAGATTTTTGACAGATTCTGTCTGATTTGGTGTCGAGTGACAGACCTGAGAGGCCCGATCGTGCAGCCTCCTCGTGGTTGACGTTGTCGTATCGCCCCTCTTTACATCAAATATCTCTCGAAAGCGGCGCTTGATTATGCTCCGCCCCGCGGTAATCCTTCGTACCAATTATTTTTATATTTATAAAAAAATAAAAGTAAAACGATTGAGGAGTGAATCATCAAATCTGTAGAATTAAAGAGTCACACAATAAAGTTATTAAAATTAAATATTATGTACACAGAAAATAGCAAAAAATCCATTCATGGAAAAATTAATCGAAGAGTAATATGCAAAGCTGTTTTAAATGTAATTGATGATCAACTACCGCATTCTATTTTATTCATGTCAATTTATTTCATGCTCTCATTATTTTTAATACGTAATTCGATACAATTTATTTTAATTTTCCCTTTCATCCTATTTTTCTCTGTCACGCATGCATGAATATTGTGTGTGCAGTGTGTGTGTGTGTGCGTGTGTTCATAGCAGTTTAGTTGTCAAATTTTAAAATTAGTTATGATTTATACATGGCTTTTAAAAATATTATTATATAATTTTGATGACTTTCTATTTTACAACTCTTATATTTTTATAGCTTTCAAGAGCCTTTCATGTTTAAGAAGTTCTGCGCCCCTGGCCCGCTTTCGCTGCGGGCCTGCACATAGGTTGAAGACAAATTTCCAGCTTTGGGTCGCAGCTACTATACGGTCAAGGTTTCTAGGGAGCCACTGTACACATGCGAAACGATCATATAAAAGACCAGGGAGCTGTCGTGTGGGATACGGCTTATTTCGGCGACAATACGCACGGTCAGGCGCTAGCATAAAGACGCATAATGCACCCCGCTAACGTGAAAATTATTCTGTCAAACATTCGGGCGTCGGATTTATACGGGACACGCTTTTTCGGAAGGGACACGCCAATCGCGATCCACTTTGGCAGATGCCGAAAGGATTTCTCGGTCAATGAGATGCACGCCTATCTGCCTTTTCGCCGATATTATTAGACAAGATTGCTGCATGTTGTTCGCGCGTTCAATTCTTAAATAGTCAATTCAATATATATTTTCTGGTAATATTTTTTTATAATAATTACTATCTAATCATGTGCAAGCTTGAAAGGAAAAAGAAGTGATTGAGATGGCATCACAAAACTGTATTTTTTTTTAATCTACATGGAAAGAATGATTTCGCAGGAAGATCTAACAATTTTTGAATCCAAAAATAATTTTGTTGGACCATTAAAATACTTTGGTTGGAAACTCAAAAATGACGAATATTGCTGTAAAACGTTTTGATATTCTAGCAATGAATTTAAATTTTTAATAAAATTATTTTAATGTCCAACAAAATTATTATCAAGATCAGCACCCAGCAAAACTTTCAAATTTTTCAGTAAAATCGTTCTTTCCGTGTATAAATTTATTTTTATTTTTTTAAATTATTCTAGTCTGAAATTATTATTTGGGTAGATGAGTTAATTCATTTTTACGTAACATAATTCAAATATTAACAGACGCAATCTTCGGTTTTAATATTTATCGCAAGACGCGTTGCGATATGTTTACGATCATGAGTACGCAAAATAAAAATTGAAAAATCCGATTGGCTTACTTGAAAGGATCTCAAACTTTTCGTTCTTCGATCGCTATTACTATTTTCGTTGTAAAAACTGTCGCGTGACGAAGCGCGCACAATAGCTTCGAGAAGCGAAACGAGAAACGAGACGAGATGCTACAAAACAGCTCCCGCCAGCCGACACGCGGAATATTGTGACGTTTCTTTTCCGAGTGACATTCAATTTCCAGCCTGGTAACGTCTCGTGCCCCCCAACCGCACGCACTGTATACGCTATAGAATGGAGAATACGATATGCCCGTGCATCCCCAGCCTCCCTCTTTTCATAGCGTCGATGCAGCTCCTCTAGGCGCACAGCCGGGGTGCTCTCTCGTAGTAAATACAAACAAACAACAATTGGCCTCCGTTTCTGCCCACGAGACCGACGGGTGAACAGAAGGTGTATCGTGTGTAATACAGGCACGATCACAACCGGCAGTTTCAACGTGATCTTTTGGGTTCAACCTTGGAAATTTGTGCCGAAAAGTCAACCTCTTATTATTTCTTAAAGATTCAGCGTCGGGAGAAATTTTATCGTATCACTTTTATATTAAATAAAATGCGTTCAGGTTTATAGTAGGGCAAACGAATATTATAATCGATAAATGTACGTGGCATTAAATAAAACTATTTCAGAGAATTTTCAGTTACACCAATAATCCTTAACTACAGTGCCATGCATTTTGAAGTTTAATTGCAAAACAAGAAATTCCTTTTCGAAAAAACTCTTACAATATTAAACTCGCTTATACATTTTCCATCGTAAAATTTATTTATAAATTAAATTTTATTTCTTTTCCCCGAAAGAAAGAGTATATTTATTACGTTACTTTTTTTCTCCTTATATACTACCACTTTCTTTGTTCTTAATTCACAAGGAAAATGTGTAATATATTTACCCATAAAGAAGGAGCTGACTGTCCCTTTCTACTCGAGTGTATTGTACAACTCTAGAAGTTTATGGACTATATACTAGCGAAATATCCAAACATCTCTTTAAGAAGAAAAAATATGTATATACATACATATATTCAAACCGAAGTAAATCGCACAAAGAAAGTCCAAATGAACAGGGGTTTATCGCGAAATAATCCATTTTACATCATTAAACAGTAATCTCGAACTTTCCAATACGTGACTTGTGTTCACTATCTAGAAATTTGAAATTTTGCAAACTTTAATTAAAGTGTAATCTTCAATGTTTCGAAATTTATTCAAATTAAGTTTGTACGTTACTGCTAATTTTATATCGCAATTCACTTCGCCTTTACAAACATTTTCGAACTACAATTAAAATGTAATCTTTAATCTTTTAAAATTTATTTAATTAAATTCAGGTATTTACTCTTTTAATTTTCTATCGGAATTCACTTCGCCTTTACAAATACTAACTATTTATTACTTACAAATACTTAACTATTCTAGAAAATCAAGTGTCCATAATGTATTATGTTGAACAAAAAATTAAGGTTTGAGATTCTTATCACCGTATTTATGCAGGGATTTGTGCTAGACAATGAACTTTTTTCAGCTATATGATATGTCATTCTGACTTGAAAGGCTTTTCTTTCATCCATTGTTATAAAATTATGACAAGAAAATATTGCTCATTCTTGGAATAAAACTTTCCACGTTTATGTTTTTTCGGAAAAGTTAAATGTTGTTAGATCTATGCTATCTACATATATATGCAGAAAAAGACACTAAATGTCTTAACAAAAACAAATGAATAAACCTGTTTCAAGAATGTCAAGTTGTGTTTGCAAGATTCCATAATAAATGGAAACAAAAATATTGACCTTGTGTCCTTCCTTGCAACCTTCAAATTTGAAAAGTGACCTGTCATGTTAAAAAAGTATCATTAATTTTATTTCGTTACGTCCTGCATATAATATTTCTTTTCGGTTGATAGATTTAATTTTTACATTAACGTAAAATAATATCTACAATTTTTTTAGGTGAAATTCACACATAAAAATCATGCCGAAGATACGACATCAAATAATTCAACGTTTAAATTTTTCTATCACATATTTTCACTTATCTGCCATTCCACCATTCTACAATTAGCTTTGAGGATCCGCGGAAAACGTAATATCGGACGACATGAGAAGTGAGAGCTTGTCCTGTTTCCCTAACATATCGCGCGCAAATACACGATACTCTGTCGACATAGCGTTATACATATACATTCGGCGAAAGAGAAGAGATATATGTATTTCAGTAGCGAGGTAGATCTCACGTGCAAAGAAAGTTACGATATACACCGCCTGGCTCCGGACCGTCGCGTCGCGCAGAAAGGGTCACGTTTATTCTCGTGTAAAACTGTCGTGTTTCTGTGGGTAGTGTCGAAAACATGATGTACTTTTCCAAATACAACTATTTATACCGAATAAACCGAGAAGAATGATTTCTTTCAATGTTAACGCGTTGGCGTATCTTTTGTAGATAGATAGACAATAAAAAATTAAATTTTCGAGGTATAAAATGGAGAGTAAATATCATATATTAAAATATTAATAATATATCAATCAATTTCACATAAGTTTTATTTAAATAGAGGAGCAATCCAGGAATGTCTTAAATGTTATTTAAGTGCGATTTAATAATTGCTAAAATAATTGAAAGAAGAGATCAACGTTACTGTTACATTTTATTCCATATTCAAATAATAATTTAGACGCGGAGAAATAGGAACAATTTTGCTAGTGAAACATCCTGCATGTATTGCGTTTTAGGAAAGACAGACATTGTCATAAATATAAGGTCTTTTAGAATTTTTTTACTACAAGTAGATTGTCTTCTTGACAAAAATGTGGGGATAATGGTTTAGTTAAAGAGGAAAAAGGTTTATACTAGAACAAATATTCTTTATATTTATATGTATAGACCATTGAAAAAGAACATGTGATTTAGCTTAGATTAAACGAATAAAATTTGGAAGAAGTAAAACTAAGATTACATTATTTCTTCACCGCGGTTTATTGCAATATTAAAAAACGATATGATCCAAAATAAATGGAAATATGTAAATAAAAAAGTAAAGAGCTTTTCAATTTAACTTCTTAAAACATAATGCCTCAAAAAATAATACCGATGTGAAAGAGAAAGAGTTAATTAAATTTTATAATCTAACTTCTCATTTTTGTGATTTTCCCTAATATATTGCTATCTCGGGAACGCCTCTGACAAACTGGTAGGCGTATTCTCCCTCGCGCGCTCCACGAACTTCAACTATGTATTCTATTTCTACTCAACCATCGATGTCAATAGATGGATGCGCAAAATCAAGCGTCGCGAGATCTGGAATTTCCGGGACTTCCGCCGAACGCGGTCGCGCTCGCGCTCGCGCTCACGCGAGCGCGCGCATACACATCGGATGGTGGAGAGCGGAACAAAACACACAAAGTCCCTGGACACGGTGCGCGGGCTTTTGGCCTGACCTCGCTTTGCCACCAATTAGCATCTCCCTTAATGACGATCGCCGAGCGTGCACGCGCGCTCGCGTGACACTCGCCCGCCGATACACGCGCGTATACGACGCGACGAGAGCGGCGAGACGGAGACAGCGAGAGATCCATAAAAAAGTCCTTTGCCCCCACCGATCGCGGTTGGCCACCCCTCCCACCCCTCCCTAACCCACGCTATCGCGATCTCTCGCCCTACCTATAAAAGCGCACACAAACGCAACGTGCGCACCCCGCGCGCACGTCCCCACTACCGCGCTACGCCTCTCTCTCGCGCCAGCCGCTCGCCACGGCGAGAGATCTTTATTTTGATCGTCGACCGATTAACGGCCGCCGAGCGCGCGTTCTCCACGCCTCCTCCATCTCCGCTCGGCCAATCGGCACGTGTGCCGCCAGCCATTTTGGTCCATACGGATGCTGCGCGCACGTGCACCGTCCTTCCCCACCCTCTGTCTTTGCGGCGAGCCGCGTACTCGCGGAGGGTGTAGACTGTAGCCTCGCGGATGTGTGCGCGCTTGTCAACTGTATATGTGTGTGTGTGTGTGTGTGTGTGTGAATGTAGTTGTATGTATGTGCGTCGCAGGCGCGCCCGCGCGCGCTTGTTCATCGAGGCAGAGTATTTCCATTAGAGAACAGGAGACGCGCGCGAGAAAGCCGCCGCATCCCTCGCTCGCGAACAAGTTCACCCATTGCTGACGTTTCGTACGATTTTCAAGAAACGGCGTTATGCGCGGGGTAAAATCGGCGTCAAAATCGCGCGTAGTTGCGTAATCGCGAAATATCATTCTGATACAAGCGAGGAAGGTGAGGCAGAGAAAAAGAGGATTACGCAAGTTTTCATAAAAAGTAATGGCAGCGAGAGATGCATTGCTCTCGTCGATTTTTTTTCTCATGGCGAACGCAGAGGAGAACCGAGCGAACTGCTCCGGACTCTCTCTTACCCTCCCCCGTTGCGTGCGCTGCGTTACGCGTAAATAGTTACAACGACCGGCGTTAAATCTCTGGCAATGAACGGGGTTGGCAGGGAGGGAGTGAGAGGAAAGAGCAAGAGGGCAAGTTAAGAGCCCGTGTGCTCGCGAGCTCGCCGTCCGCTTCCATCAGCGCGCTCTTCTTTCCCCTCTGTATGTACGTCGAACACGTTTCTTCGTTCACGTACGAGGGATATTGTTCGCGTGTTCACGAGAACGCGCGGATATGCCACGCCGTGACAGGGGTAAGGGGAGAGGGAGGGAGCGATACGAGGGCGAGAGGGTGAATCGGGGAAGAGATTGCGCAGCCCTCCCCCCCCCCTATACTCTCTCCTCTCGTACGATCTCGTGCGCGCGTATATGTATCATCGGGGGAGAGCTCGTTTATAACGATAACGGAGGGAAAGAGGAAGAACGAGAAGAGGAAGACACCCCGAACTACCATCGCAAACCCTCGTTTCCTCCCGCTCGCTCTCTCGCTATACACACTCGTACTCTGACGAACGGTGGTGGGGAGTTCTCTCGGAGAAGTGGTTGATAATCGAGGAGTGCATCAGAAAGGGACGGACCGAGATCTCTGCGCGCGCGCGCGCGCATGTGTGCGTATGCGTGTGTAATAAGTGTGTATGGCGCGCGTACTCGCGGACCGCGAATTCCCCGTGTATCCGAGCGTCTATCCAAGCGCGTTCCTCGCGGTAGTGTTGGTGGAATCCCCCTACCCCGTTGTCCAACGGTATACACATACAGAGATACGCATACACGAGCCCGTCCTCCGCGTATTGTGCCGCACGAATGGAGGCAGGCCGTTCGTGACGGCGCGGCGGAGGGAGTGGTATCGAAGGCAGGACGATCCGTACGACCAACACACGTACGCGCGCTCGAGCCGCGAACCGCTCGGCCGAACGAACTCGCGCGTGTGTCCCAGAAGCGAGAGAGCCTCGCACTGTGTGTGCGCGCGTGTGGCCCTCCCCTTCCTCCGGCTCGAGCCACATACTCACGCATATACGGATATCACCGGGCCCGTCCTCCATATACCGCACGCATTCTCGCTTCCAGCTGCCTCTCTCCCCTTTCCTTCTTCTCCCTCCGCTGGCTGGTCCACGACAGCACCGGTGTATCTCCCGGCATCACACGGACACAGGCAGACGCGCCACGGCAGCCGTCCCCGGAGCGGAGCGTGCGGGTTCCACGGGGAGACGTGCAGGTCAGTTCGGTGGCTCGCGGATGACAGCGAGGGGAACGTGGTGAAACGGGGTGGCTAGAAAGGGGGGGGTTGGTGCGATTCAGGGCACGCGTTTTCAGCACCGCCAAACGGCGGTACCACGAAGCGCGCGCGCGCGCGCGGCGTCGTCGTCGTCGTCGTCGCCCTGCCACCGTCGCCGATCGACGCCGTCGCCGGCGTTGAGGGAACAGCGAACCCGGGAGCTAACGCTCGCTCGCGCGCGAGACGGACGAATATGCGAAGTGAGTAAAAGCGAAGCGTCCACATTTCGACGGCGACGCGTCCCCGCGCGTTTCCTCTTCGCCGTCGCGGATCGCGCACGCCGGAAGGAGGAACAGGCGCCTTGGCACCCTCGCCAACGAACACGAAGTGAGTAGTCGTCCGCTGCCAGCGGCCGCTTTTTTCGGCGTCCCAGAAACGCGGATTCGCTACTTCCCGTACATCCGCGTGTCGGACGACAACGAGATCGCGTCACCCACGAGCGTACGCCGCGTACGAGTCCTGACGCTCCCGATCTGTGATGCGTCGTTCGTTCGGATTTTCGAGATGATCAACATTCGCGAGTGAGAGACGTACGAAGACGGAGCGAATCAAGAAGAGAGGAAGAGGAGGAAGAGACCGAAGAGAGTCACGTGCGTGAGAAGAGTATCATTCTCGAGAAACATTACTGACCTCCAAGGATATCGTCTTCGGAGAGATAGCGAGAGCACCGCCGAGAACACGTCGGAAAAGGTAAGCGTGAACTCGTCAGAGATGTTATGTAAACACGAGGGGGAAGGGGGACTTGGACCGAGCGTCGCCACCCCGTGGCGAAAGGGCTGCGAATCTTCCGGCCTCTGGGGATCTCTCTTTTTTTTCTGCACCGCGATTGTACACGACGAGAGGACAGTGCACGACGTGACTGTCAATTTATAAGGTAGCTTCATGGAGCACGAGACACGCGGCGAGTTTGATTCCTTGCATTACGTCCCTTTACACCTCATTCTTCATTTTCTTTCCGTGTCAAACACGCTTCGTACGTTCTTTATGCGCGATTCGAGAAGATTCACTCGAGCGAATTGAATATTGACATGTTATTGTTGACTATTTTTGTTCTTTCGGAGATATTGCCTTTATCTTAATTTTCTCACGATTGCTGTTGCTAAATATTTGCGACACGTCTATTTCTCATACAAATCAATGACATTACCCGCGAATATTGTATCTTATGTTTAGGCTAGAAATATTAAAGCATCGATTCTATCGAGGTGATGAAGTAATATAAATTCTAATATAATTGCAACATGCGTGTGATTCTAATAAAAATAAATATAAAACGAAACCGCGTTACGTCTCGTATAATAATTTTTATGCAAAATTGCCTGAAAATCTTAAGATTTGTATAGGCCCGAAGAGCGACGCGAGTGTATCTTTTAATTGTAACATAAATAACTCGATAGGCCTAAATTTTAATAAAATTTTAAATATTTTAATAAACTATTATCTTTTTAAAACACATATACTGTAGTTTGACCGATGTATTCTTTCTCATTCAACGATCGAAAAAAAAAGAATCGCGCAAAACTTTAGATTTAATCAAATCATATTCTTGCGTATATTAAATATAGGAGATAACTTCGGTAGAATTTCACTAACGAATCAGTATTGATACGCAATAACAAAAAATCTCGTCTATATACATATAATACAAATAACGAACACTGGAGAACTTCTCTTTAACCGCGTCATACAATTTTGAATCCTATACGAGCTTCGATATACGATAACATTTTGACATAATAGAATATAATCTAATATATTCTTAGTGAAAAACATAAAAAAAGATCTGCATTTTACGTTTTGATAAGAATGCTTAAGAATAAGGATCAATTCATTCGTGTGATTGGCAATCAGAGCCGTCGCATTATAAATTTCCGCAATATCCTCCGGAAATTGCGACATCTTAATGCAGCAGTGATTATGTAATGATCGATATATTGCATCATAGTTGTGCGTCTTCGAGCGTACTCTCTGTTCGCATCAAATCGTATTTTACTCGGGTGGCCAAATCTCGAATATTATATCCCGAATATTGCATGTTCTGGGAAACTGGTTAAACATTGCCTGCTTGTCACATGTAGGTAACTAAAGCCTATTTCTATCAATGTAGACTAACTTCAATCTTCATCTTAAATTATTTTTTATCTTCCTAATTCTTAAAACTAAAAAAAGATAAAAAATAAGAAAATTAAGATGAAACTTTTATCTACGTTGATAGAAATAGACAGATGAAGATCATGGAGAATCTTTCCCCTTCCGAATCTTTCCATGTTTCTTTCTGCCATCTTTCTCTCATCATAAATCATCATGAAACAAAAAAATGTACTTGACTATCGCTAGACGCTATGGCGTCTCCTGATTTGTGTTATTTTTTTATTTCTAACGAATACGATAATACTAATACTAAGAGTCCTGTGTTATATAACAATGTCTTAAACTAAATGGAGGACGAAACTAAAAAAATCGCGGTCCAAAATAGTGGAAAAACCATTTTGAAAAATTAGTGTGCTGTTTTCTTGGAATAGATTCGGATTTGGAAAGAAATACGATAATAATTATCCTGACACGCCTCCCTCCAGTCAAATATGTGATGGGATTCCTCCTCCGTTGAACGAAAACCCCGAACGAGATTCCTGACACTTATCTATAGAGGCTATAAATCTTTTCCCAGAAGGTTAACGTACGTATTCATGACAGTTTTCGGCTTCTCGTGTTACGTTCTCTTATAATCAAAATATAGAAATCAGAAAATATTGCACTTTTCGACCTATACAGTTGTCTCGGCAATTATATATAAACGTCGTTTATTTTTCGATGATGTGCAAATCGAAAACGATGAATAAAATCAATAAAAAAATGTGACTCTAAATATATAATATTTACGAAATATCACGATGATATTATTATTAACAATACGTTGATAGTAAATAACAGATCATCATATAGTCACGCGTAAATTGATTTAAAAGAGGAAGAGAAATCTGTGCCTCGCTTAGAAGATGAACGAAGATGAAATAATCTTGGCGATAATGTCGGATGAACGACGACCGCGTATGGATAAATAGATCGGCTTAAAATCTCAACTGCGACTTCGTCGAACCGCGTGAAAGAAACCGCAGAGTGTGCATACCGAATGCCGGCGATCGTTACTCGCGCTACTGAAATTGGCGTAACGGTCGTGGAGTTGCGAGTTCTTTTCCGCGTCGCGCTTATGAATCCTCTGATCGAACGCGGTGGTTTCTGATAAATGAAGTCGCGGAAATCGGCCGCGCCGAAAGAAAGCGGCGGCGACGAAGCGCGGCTTCTTGCGTAAGAACCGCGCGCGCGGATAATAAAGACCGGCGCCTTTTCGCGCGTATCACGCGCGTGAGTGGCTCCGGTAGCCAGTCGCATGCTCGTCCTGTTAATTGTCGCCAATTAACGAGGTACACCTCTCGCCGGCGTCTCACCTTGCCTTCTCGCCAAGCCACCTCCTTATCGGCTCTATTCAGGATCGCCGCCGTCTTTTCTCTCCGCCGGCTCGTACACCCCGACGAGCAGCGGTAAACCATCGTTCGCGCTTTTGTCGGCATAACGCCACGTCATCCCCGCTAATCGTCACGAAAAGTACGCCGCGTTTATACGACGTCCTCCTCGATAAAGACCGCTACCGGCCGCGCGAGAGTGAAACGCGCCGCGGTGAGCATCAATCTTTGTACCGATTTCTTTGGCCGCGCGGCCGTCCTAGCCGCGGTAGAATCGGTAATACGAGTTTAGTTACCTATCGCGTCGGGGTTCCGGCACCGAAATCGCCGCTCGTTAGCGACGTACATTCGCGTTCTCCTCGCGGTGAGAATTGCGCCTAGGCGAAGGAACACCTCGCAGCTTTCCTGGCGAACATTCGCGCCAGCTTATTCTCAGTTTTGTGCGCGGCTAAATTAACGTCCTTTCACGAAAACGACGGTTACTAAAAGAGTTTTGAAAAAAAGACCCGGTCGCAATGTTCCGAATGAACGTACTCGAGAATTTGAAACATCATTTATCATAAATTTCAACATGTAACTTTAGCGGGTTAATATAATTACTTTTTTTTTATTATTGAGTAAGGTTGTATGTAATCTTAATTGCTGAATGATATATTCGAATCGAGAAACTAAGAGACCACGTATGAAAAAGTTTTCACTTGTGCTAAATATTTTAATGTCGAGATTAATGATGTTGCTAATGAAATCTTTTATTGGAATTAAATGGCACAATAAATATTAATTAGAAACTGGTAGGCTTTAATATATTAGACGTTAAATAGTGTAATGGGATATAATCACCGTTTCAACTGTTAGGCTAATCACAATTATAGTCCATCTATGAGAGGTCCAATTAATCAACCTGTTTCTCTGATGATGTTTTTACTTTTTAATGCAGTCTATAAAACATCGCATCATTTCTGTTTTAATCAGGTATAGCTTTGTTTGCTGAGAACATATACATATGTATGTATACAACTGTTAGGATCAAAAATCCACATGAAGAAATTTTAAATTGTTATTTAGAACAAATTTTTTAGAAAATTATTTTAGCAAAGGATGATCTTTTAAGGCAGGTTAGATTAAAATATCGTCAAAGACGTGATATTTTAATTGATGCATCAAAATTTATAGAATAATTGTGACGTGTGAAATAGAATTAGGAGAAAAGAAAGGATTCTATTTAATTGTGCAAATTAAAATAAAAGTTAATGACAGTTGTGAATTTATAAATTCGATCAGGGCACACGAGATTTGAAAGCTCATCAGGTTATTACATGCCAGAAATTATTACACGCGAAGGTATTACGCGCCTTTTTCGAACTATCGTCCAAAGATATAATTTGTCCAATAAACGTAATCAAACATTAATGTTTGATTTATAACTAGTCACAGTAGTCTTTGTTCAATTCAGGCTTCCATTTGGACATCAAAATGATGAAAACGCAATCGGTTTCGATTGTTATAACTTTTAATGTCGCGACAACGCGGCATCGTCGCCTCCGCTTCACTTTCACTTGATTCTCGCGCGTCGCACGCTTCTGCAAGGTACCCAGGCGTCATCGTCGGCCCGTGGTGACTCGTGGTGTCCTTTTTTTCACGAGTCATCTCCGTAGGTGCCGCGCAGTTTTCACGGCGAGAAGTGGCCGACGACGGGGGGTTGTGTACGTCTCGCGGTTCGGACCGACCTGAACGAGCTGACGGACAAACGCACAATAAGAACGAGGAATACCCCCGCAGAGCCAGACATGAAGACGTCACTCAAAAACGGTAACGTGGTCAGGAGTGCCCGGACACGGGGTCAGGCCCAAGCTGACCGTTCTAGGCTGCTCGGTTCAGCTACGTTCTCTTATGAGTGAGTCAGCGTCTCGGCAGCACTTTCTTCAAGGTAAATTTTTGAAATTTCTTCTCTCTCGAGCCTGCGATTCGGGTTCACAAGAAATTTACAATTATGAGAAGAAATCGATAGCAAACCGAGAGATAATATCGAAAGATTTCACATTCTTCAATTTTTCTTTAAGTGCACTCAAAAGACACACGATAAACATCAATAGTGCATTGACACAAAGAAAATTATTTAGGATACCTGGGTACAGGGTGGTCAGAAAAAACTTTGAATGAAAATACCTGGCAAACCTCAGAGAATTTTTTTTTTAAAGATTTCAGTAAACATCTAGTAATTTTGAATGCAAGAAAAGAAATGTGCTTTGTAAAAAGAATGTAATATTTGTCAGTACTGTTAAAGACGGGAACTAAATTTTACTTATGCGAATACAAAAAATTCCTAAACGGTTTAAAATCACAAATTGTAGAAAGAGCAATTTGCTCTTTAAACATAATTTTAATTTGCATTCTTTAAACATAATTATACAATTAAGTAATATGAAAATAATAATAATAACATTTACGAGCTCTTTCTGCTGGTCTATATAACACCCATCACAAAATTTACGAGAGTCGAGTCGTTCGTAACGACATAACAAATGACCAGTGAACAAAGTGCATATTCGTGTCTAACTATCAGTCATCAGTGATTAGATGGAAACGTCCATTTATATTTTGATAGGCAAAATAAAATGTCAAAATTTTTGGCTCGATGGGACGCAACGATTAACGCCAGTGAGGGCAGAGAGGAGGGAAGAGGGAGGAACGAGGTATAAATCTTACGCAATTTAAGCTCGAGCTTCACGTGGCGGACAATGAATGGCGAAGCGCCATTTCAGCGCTTCGTTGCAGGCTCGTAATGCGGCCGTAAATTAAACCTCGCGCCGATTGGTGCACGTTCAACGTTCTGTGATTTACAAGCAACGACGCACTCCCGTCGTACACGCCCAGAAAACCCGAGATAACTCGCGTTCATCGTCCCTGTGACATAACTGCTCGTAAAAAAAAGCCAAGTTTCACAACGCCTCCGCCGCGCTTAGAGAAAAAGAGCCTCGCGCGTAACCTATGTTATTTGTTCAACACTCGTTTACTCGTTCGAAATTTCCAGCGGAACTTCGTAAATGCGCGAAGCACGCCTTACGCCCGTAAAATATGATTGCTCTTAGCAATCGCAATTTATTTCGCGATAAAAGCGTATCGGTTCATAAAATATATATCATTGACTGCGCGATCATCAATGTATGGCGGAGTTTAATCAGACTTTCTGTCGAGTGTTGCACTGATGCGAGAATTTTCAGCATCTTCCAGATTATTATTGAAAATGTTTTATTAATGGCTTTGCGTTTCAGAAATTCAACTTAATTCGGCAATTAAACATAATATCACATGGAATAAGTCAGTAACTAATTTTGAGACCATCCGTTTATTATAGAGGCCGGTTATAAATTAACGTAAGTTGATGTAATGTTAACTTCAATAAAATATCGATTACTTAGATCAGTGATTATCTTGTATAACCGTTAAAATAATACAATAAACTTTGAAACAGAATACAATTATCAGTATGTACATGCCAGTGAATGCTGATTAGAAGTACAAAATTATTGTTAAAAAGTTATTGCAATGTAAAAGAAAAACGAGTCGAATTTTCTTTACCGGTCAGCTCCTTCACTTGATAAAATTCAGGGGATATATTTCCGATTAAACTTATTTCGAGAAGCAAACACCTGATCTTTCGAAAGGCGTGGAAATAGTAGCGAATTGAGAGGACGAGCCGTCGCTGCAGGCAAGGCGAAACGAGGATTATTTTTTGTTTTGACGACTGACATGCGGCGCAGTTACAATCTCTATTTACAAGCTGAGGTAAACACAAAACTTATTATTAATCTTCTTGTGTATAAGACTTCGGACGTATGTAGATACATGTCCGGTCACTCAGACGTTTACCTTACCATTACCTGCATATCGCACATTTTTTTCTCAATCACAGGAATTTATTTGGAATTTTTCGGTGTGAACGACCTTTCAAAATTCGGGTTTTTCACATTTCATGCATGGTGGATCTTTTTCTCTTTCTCTCTTCGTCACTAAAAAGACTCTCCGAAATGCGTCGCTTATAGATTCAGGTAAGCTATTTAGAAGAAACTGTCAAAATTGTGGACTGTAAACATCTAGCTGTCAGGTAAAATAATTTTTAGTTTCTATCGGGCATACCAATTGTAAGACCTGCGTCTGTCAATTTTGCGATGGAATACTGATATGCTGCAAATAAAAGATAACTTAAGATCTTTAATAATATTTGACTGCTTTTAAAGGGAGACTTGACTTCCGTTTGAACGAGAAAAGAACAGAATATTTACACAAGGAAAGAATTGTTTTACTGAAGTATCTAAATTTACATAGATACAAATTTGAAAATAATTTTAGATCATCTAAATAATTATATTTTAGGCTGGTTGTTAGAATGTCAACATTTTTTGCAATATTATTTGGGCGTTCTACATAATTTTGACAATCTTACAAAATTATTTCTGATCTTCAGATCTGTATCTATAGCTAAATTTGTAGGTGCTTCAGCAAAACCGTTCTTTTCGTCGGTACACAATTGTGCCTTTTAAATTGGCGTACTGATTCCGTCAAAATAACTACGTAAAAGTTTCCGTTAAGTTAATTATTTTTTGAAAGGTTATTTGCTCCTTTAAACATGAGGTGTTAAGATAGTCTAGAACGAGTGTCTTTAGTTTTAATAATGAGAATTGTGTAATTATAATTCGCATTCAACCAATTATTTGAGTTATATACGAATATTAATATTTTACGAATTACTGAAACGCGCGGCTGGTGAAATGCACTTCGCGAATCTAAGAAAGATATCGGACTCATTTGAAAGTCGTACTAATCTGAACAGCGATGACGGCTAATACCTCGGGTTTCCGTAGCTGCCTGAATAGAAGGATCGGTATAAGGCACTTGAAAAAAAAAAAGGAAAAACAGAAAGCAAAAAAGAAACGATTATTCTATTCCTGGACAAATCGAAAGTGGGACTACCGACATTTCTGCGGATTGGGGGACACGATGAGCACAAATCATTATTAACGACTGCTGTGGCGCGACAGCCGTTGTACGTTTTGTGAAATATCGCAAGCGGCGGAGCTTTATTAAGCTAGCTGCTTTGATCTAACGGATCTAACCTGTGGTCTACGCTCGCCATGATTCGCGCGAATCACAATATTACTTCCACAGCGTATTATTACACTCCGGTAGCCATGTTTTATCTGATGCACATTTCGCTACGCGTCAATAAACTTATTATATCGATAAAATGCGTCATTAAGTTGCGTTGCATAATTATGAGATGTAAAATGCAAAACGTATATTTAAATGCAAATTACAGGTTCTAAATTATCCCGTGAGATCATGCCTTTATAATAAATAGTTGATATTAACGTCTAATCAATGCATCGTTCTCTTATACAGAGATACACGTAAATCTTTCGGATAGTTTCGCGTCATAAGATTCGAAAGATCATCGTGACCTCAAGAATGGATTCTTGTACGATTTATTCGCGTGTTTGGGAAGAATCAACGTTACGTGTATCAAAATAGTGAAAGGGTATAGCGATGCGCGAGCCGATGTTTACGACGCTCGGAAAAGTTATATCATTATGCATAAATGAGAAAAAGAGCTAGGTATTTTTGCTTAAATAATTAATTGCGTGTTCGTTCATCTACATAATCGTGAAAACTCGCATCTGCATAATAGGCTATTTGATGCAGCGTGACCGCAAGTCGCAAGACGTTATCATTCTTTTGGTAGCCAATCGTCGGAATCCTCATCTACCTATTTATCCTATATCATACCAGACTATAAAGAAGCGTCTGTTCACGCACACGGGGAAAGGGAAAAAGGGTAGACAGAGTCGTTCGGAGGAAGGTGGAGGAGACGCGGGAGAGAACTTCGAATTTCACGGAATCGCCGCGACCGCCTCGCAGTCTCGCGCAGCAGCGGGAATAATTCAAGGTAGAAGGCCGCATCGATTTCGTGGATAGGCGTCCCATCCGTGGCGAGATGCTGAGGCCGCCGGCTCGGTTTATAATAAGGCGCTATAACACGCCGAGGTCTCTCTCTCTCTCTCTTTCTCGCGCGCTCGCGCGCGCGCGCAGGTGTAAGGAGGTGTCCGGCACCTTAAGGCTTCCAGTAGGGTCGAACGGAGCGGCATATTTCATCCATTGTCGCCCCTCAACTCCGGCGGCGGCACTTTTCAACTTTTTATAGAGATTTTTATACCGCTATATCTATACCGTCTCTCTACGCGCGGCTGCGCGTGGGAGAGAGAGAGAGAGAATATCATCGGGCAAAGACGAGAGGAAGCGAGAGAGGAACCGCGCGATGGACGAGGAGAAGAGGGCGCAGGACGCGGAACGAGGGGGAGGGTTCGCCCCATCGTGCCTGAATATGAATATAATAATGAGAACGGGTTTCGTCGTCGTTCCGCTTCTCCGCTTCTCGTCCTTCGGCTTCGCTCACGGGATTTCTTCTCTCGCAACGACGAGTCGCTCCTCTCCGCTCCTCCTCATCCTCCCCGGGTCTTTTTCCGCTCTCCGCTCACTGCATCTTCGCCCTCGCCTTCGCCCGCGCGATCCTGCGGACGCGTACGCGCTCGCTTATATGCGCGCGCGCTCAGCGGTGACAACAACAAAACCGGACGCGTGTCATTGCGCCTGCTAAATTGCCTCCTCGCGTCTCACCATGTCTCCCGCCGATGGCCGCCGGCCGCATCAGGATCCCTCTGACGCGAATCGATCCGCCGTCGGTTATTGAACGCCCATGTGGACGTCGCACCTGCTAATGCATCCTCGCGCTGCCGTGCGAACCGTATCGTAGCGTCCGCGTAAGAGCTATGTAGACGCGAGAGCAACAACGAGATCTCTCTCTCCGCGGACGGGTTCCCGACGGTGGCGATTTCCCTCCTCGCTTTCTTTTTCTTTATTAACGTCGCGCATGCAGGCTGATCGCGCGGTGACCATTCGTTTATCTCTAATGCCACGAGCTTCTATTAGATAAAAAGACGGTATAGAAGATTCGAAATTTAAACAAACTCGCATTCACTTCGCAAGCAAAATGAAAAATCGTACTATATTAAGATTGTGCTGTGTCTTCGATGTTATTTTACGCGACAGCATTTTCGAGAGAAAAGTGACATTGCAAGTTCAAAATAAGCATTTTTAAGTTAATGAAAGGAATTTAATCGAAAAAATTTACACATTTCTGTGGAAAAGCAAAACATGTGACTTATTTACTTACACGGAAAAGTACCACAATTCTCATGAGAGATGTTTACACTAGGGTTGCAGTGTTCTAAAAAAAGAATTTTCTATGTATTTATTTTACAATCAATTTCTGTTTATTCTGTTCTTTTTCTCCAGAGCAATGCAAAAACGTTATGAAGTTGGCATGAGAAGAGTTTATATATCGTTACACTGATAAGAAAGTAACACATCTCAAAATTAGCAACTTTTTAATAGAACATTTTTCCAATTCTGAATTAGAACAATGTTTTAATTAGGATAATGAATATAATTTTTATCACTTCACTTTTTTCTATGTTATACTTTCAATTATAATGTATGTTCTTTGAAACTATGTCATGAGTTTTCAAAATTCGAACACTGCAATCCTAGCTAGTGTAAATTTCATCCTTCATGAGAGTTGTGACATTTTTCCATGTATAATAAGTAAATGAGCTCACATGTGTTACTTTTTCACATAAATATATTAGTTTTTACGGTTAAATTCTTTTCATTAGCTTAAAAATAGTTATTTTGAACTTGTGTCACTTTTCTCTCGAATTAGTAGCGATAGACAAAACACTGTTTATTTAAATTTTATCATATTTTATCATAATTTTTGTAAGATTAAAGAAACACGTGTTTCACAGTTCAGAAGTGAGAGATATAGATGAAACATAGAAAGATTAGATGCGGTTAGAGAACACAACCGGCTAAGACAAAAAAAATGCATCTTTACTGCGTTTTCAAGTGCGTTTCGAAATCCTTGAAGGCCGAATGTCGTTTGATGTTGAAGTGTTTAAATCTTTTCATTAAACATATCTGTGACAATCTTGTTTACAACGATATAACTGTACATACGTAAGATTAGTATTTCTTTTGTCACGTATTGCCGGATGTATTGATTAGCTATCGAGAGGACATGTCGACCAATAGCAGCAAAAGTTTGTTGAAGACTGTAGACACTCTCTGTCAGATAGGCAGTTGACACATCTGGCAAGCTTTATGCGCAACGAATGAAATATTAGTGCACGAGATTAGCCTTTTTTGCAGTTACAAGTGCAATTAGATTTTCTTGCGAAGATGCAGGATTCTGTGCTGCATATATCCTATTTGCATTCGTGCATTGCAATTCGATATAATAGAAGCAAAATGAACTAGAAACAAAAAATATACTTCGTTTCTCAAGTTTATCACGGAGTTCGTCCATTTTTTTTATTCATACAACGCAACGCAGCCAACATTATGTCAATTATACTTAATATCGTTGTGTAATAAGCAAAAGATGAAAAGGATTTTAAAGAAAATAGACGTTTCTATTTCTGTCTAAACTAGTTTAATTACTCGTTAGTTTATTTATTAGTTAAATTACTCGTTAGATCACTCTCATGTCAATGTACTTCCTTTAGACTGCAAAGGTTTTAGTTCTGAGTCTTAATCACATTTATTTGTATATAATGTGGCATGTTATTGACATGCTTTCATTAGTTTCGAGAATATTCTGCCATCATTGTTTCCAAACGATCTGCACATACGGACACAATTAAGGAACACTTGCACACGCTCCATTTTGTATCTATACATTGACAATATGATCTCGGTTAAAAAAATAAAAACTAATGTCGAATTCACTGCTTTGCCGAAGTTTGTGCCGTAGGGTCGCGTTTTGAAAAACTATACGGACTTGCCATAAATACGAAATAATGGATCGTCTCATTAAGTTTCGCACGCGCGACACTCTCGATAGAATGGAGAACCAGTTCGGAGAGTTCTCCTTTTTATCCGCACCTTTTCACAGGAGAAGCAGCGGCTTCTCAGGAGCTCCCCATCAATTAATTACCCGATTAATCAACGTCGAAGCCGACGTCGCATGCGCATACGGAGGCATTCGCAGCTTCCCACAATCGGCGACCATTCGCAAAAGCACAGAGACTTCCGAGAGAGAGAGAGAGAGAGAGAGAAAGAGAGGAGGGGGAATTGCTACTTCTTTCTTTTATTTTTCTC